ACGTACGTACGTACGTACGTAGTAGTAGTAGAGAGAGAGAGAGAGAGAGAGAGAGAGAGAGAATGGAAAGGGAACAATGAGAAAGGAAGGGAGAGGAAAAAAAGGGGATGAATCGAAACGAATGATCGATTTGTTTTCCTTATGGATGGTGTTTTATGATATAATTTATCCTGGAATCGATTTTCGTATAATTGGATTGCATAATTGGTAGTAAACGAAAGATTTTATTAGATGATTTCTTTGTTGGAAATGTTTCACAAATTTAGCAAGGAGAAATTTAGCAAGAGATCGGAAACGATTGGGTATCGAGATATGATTAGTCGATGGAAGAACTTTGTATTGGAATGAAAGGGGAAAGTTTTGGATGGAATCGACACTATGTATTCTAAGCCAGCATCGTGATGCAGTGATTCGACTTTGTTATTAACGAAACAATAGGCGAGCGCAAATATTTGCCCGTCACACGTTCACCACGACGAACGCACGAGGCACGCGCGTTCTCCCCGAATGGAAACTATCGCGAAAACTCGTTTATCCGGGAAAAATCGTGACCCGACTGTTAAACGATTCTTTGATGATCGAACGTTGGTATGTTGAAGTAGTGCTGTGCAAATTAAGCATGCAACGTGTTACCATTTCGTATTGAATTTAGTTGAGCTTTTAACGATATTACGAAATGGATGTTCGAAATGATTGCAGTTAACAATTTTGGAGGGAGATTTTTGAAAAAGAAAAAAAAAAACAAAAAAGGAAAGAATTTTTATGTATGGAAACGGCAAGTTGCTATCTATTTTCGAGATGAAAAATAAAGAATAATTTTATGAATTGTATCGCGATGTTGTAACGAAAAAGTTTACAAATAGTTTGTTCAAATTCAAAAAGGCGGATTCTATCCAATCAGATGGAAATGGATGTTTTCTGCGTGATGGAAGTATCGATTGTACGAAATCGATCGATCAACCGTCGAGTGAATCGGACAGTTAACACTCGGTAATCAGCATGCATCGTTGAATTTGTTTCAAAGGGATACGTAATCCGGTGTAAAAACACATTCCAATTCCTCTGAAAAACTGTGCTATTGTCGAAAGATTTTAATTCTTTCAAATAGGAAAATAGCAAATCAAATCGCGTTTTCTTTTTTGTAATTTTAATCTCTTAAATGAATAAATAAATAAATCGTGATGCGCATATAAAAATTCAAAATATAATTTACAAAATAAATAAATTTTCTCTTTACTCGTTTCTTCGAATTACGTACGTAAAAGATTATTTATCTTTATGACAAATTCAATCATCTTATTATATTTAAATGAAATCCATATGGATAAAAAA